TCCCCACAATGGGGGATGCGGAGGCTTTTGGGTCCTCACAAGGGGATGCGGGGGGCGTTCCCCCTCACAATGGGGATGCTGGGGGGCCTGCTCCCTCACAATGAGGGATCCCTGGACGCGGGAACCTCCCCTCACAATGAGGGATGCGGAGGTGTTCTCCCTCACAATGAGGGATGCGGGGGAACCTTTTTCCTCCCTCACAATGAGGGATGCGGGAACGCTTTTTCTCCCTCACAATGAGGGATGCGGGACGCTGTTCTCCCTCACAATGGGGGAGCGGGACGCTGTTCTCCCTCCCCAAAGGGGGAAAGCTGGACGCTGTTTCCCTCACAATGAGGGATGCGGGCCCGCTTTTTCTGCCTCACAATAAAGGGAAAGCTGGAGGCTGTTTTTTCCCCCTCAAAATTTGGGGGGGCTGGGGGCCCTGTTCTCCCCCCCACAATGGGGGATGCGGGGGCTGTTTTCCCCTCACAATGAGGGATGCGGGAAAGGCTGTTCTCCCTCAAAATTGGGGGATGCGGACGCTTTTTCCTCCCCCCACAAGGGAAAGGGATGCGGAGGCTTTTCTCCCCCCCACAATGGGGGATGCGGACGCTTTCTCCCTCAAAAAAGGGGGAAATCGGGGGGGCTGTTCCCCTCACAATAGGGAGGGCCTGGGAGGCTGTTTCCCTCACAATGGGGGAGCTGACCCCTGTTCTCCCCCCACAAGGGGGGGAAATGCTGGACGCGTTCTCCCCACAATGGGATGCTGGGGGCGGGTTCTCCCCTAAACAAGGGGAGGGGGGGCCTGGAGGCTGTTCTCCCTCACAATGGGGGAGCTGGGGCTGTTCCCCCTCACAATGAGGGATGCTGGACCTGTTCTCCCTCACAATGAGGGATGCGGGGACCTGTTTTTCCCCCAAAATTGGGGGGATGTTTGGGGGCCCTTTTCCCCACCCCTCACAATGGGGGATGCTGGCCCGCTTTTTTCTCCTCCACAATGAGGGTTTGCTGGGGGCCCTTTTTCCCCCCCTAAACAATGAGGGTTTGCTGGGGGGCTTTTCTCCCTCACAATGAGGGATGCGGGGAGGCTTTTACTCCCCTCACAATGGGGGATGCTGGGGGCTGTTGCCCCTCACAATGAGGGATGCTGGGGGCTGTTTTTCCCCTCACAATGAGGTTTGCTGGAGGCTTTTTTCCCTCACCAATGGGGGGATCCCTGGGACCCCTGTTTCTCCCCCCACAATGAGGGTGCTGGAGGCTGTTCTCCCCAAAAAGAGGGATGCTGGAGGCTGTTCTCCCTCACAATGGGGGAAAGCTGAGGGGTTTTTTCTCTCCCCCCAACAATGGGGGATGCTGGGGGCTGTTCTCCCTCAAAATTTGGGGGAATGTTTTGGGGGCTGTTCCCCCTCACAATGAAGGGATGCTGGAGGCTGTTCCCCCCTCACAATGAGGGTTGTTTGGAGGAGTTTAGCCGCCTAATTTTTAAAAAATTTAATGTCGTGAGAGTAAAGAAAGGGTTGTGTGCCCCTCGGGCCTTGTTGTTGTTCTAGTAAGACACATGTTGGTCACGCACAGTTTTTCTAAAAAATCACTAGTCTAACACCCCACATCTTTCTAAAAATTAAATCACTAGTCCTAGCCCCAACCCCACATCTTTCTAAAAATTTCACTAGTCTATCACGAACATCTTTCTAAAATTTATCACTAGTCTATTCACGCACAGCTTTCTAGTTTTATCACTAGCCCTAGCCCACGCACGGGCTTTCTAGAATTTTTCACTGTCTAGTCACGCACATCTTTCTAAAATTATCACAAACTGTCCGCACATCTTTCCCTAAAAATTTATCCCCAAAGTCTAAACCCCCAATCTTTCAAAAATTAATAAACTATTCTAAACCCCCGCAAAAATCTTTCTAAAATTATCACTATCTATCAGGGCAAAACCTTTCTAGAATTATCACTAGTCTGGGCACGCACACTTTCTAAAAATTTATAACTAGTCTCCCAAAACGCACTTTCTTTCTAGAATTATCACAGTCTAGTCACGCACATTTTTCTAGAAAAAATATAGTCAAAAACACCATATTTTTTCTAGAATTATCACTAGTCTAAACCCCCCGAAAATTTTTTTTCCCTAAAATTTAAATCACTATTCCTATCAGGGCACATTTTTCTAGAATTATCACTGTCTATTCACCACACTTTCTAGAATTATCACTAGTCTAGTCACGCAAAAAAAGCTTTCTAAAAATTTATCACTAGTCTAGTCACGCACATTTTTCCCTAAAATTTATCACTAGTCAAAAAAACCATATTTTTCTAGAATTATCACTAGCCCTAAAAAACCCGCAAAATTTTTTCTGAATTTTTCCTACCCTAGTCAGGGCACACCCTTTCTAAAATTTATCCCCTATTCATTCCACGCACACTTTCTAAAATTTATCACTAGCTAAACACGCAAATCTTTCTAAAATTTATCACTACCCCTAGACCCCGCATATCTTTCTAAATTTATCACTAGCCCAGTCACGAAACATTTTTTCCTAGAATTATAAACAAAGTCTGGGTCACGAAACATCTTTTTTGAATTATCACTATTCTAAACCCCGCAAATCTTTCTAGAATATCACAAAGTCTAGAAAACGCAAAATTTTCTAAAAATTATCACTAGCCCTAGTCAGGGCACATTTTTCTAGAATTATCCTAGTCTAGCAGCACATCTTTCTAGAATTATAAACTATCTAAACCCAAAATTTTTCCCTAAATTTAAATCACTACCCTAGACACGCACATTTTTTTTTTAAGAATTATCACTAGTCAGTCACGCGCATTTTTTCTAAATTATCACAGTCTAGCACCCTCATCTTTTAGAATTATACTATTCTAGTCACGCACTTTTTTCCCTAAATTTTACTATCTAGTCACGCACAATTTCCTAAAAATTACCCCTTTAGTCTAGCCCACGCACATTTTTTCTAAATTATCACTATCAAGTCACCCACACCCTTTCTAAAAATTTAAAGACTAGTCTAGTCACCACATTTTTCCCTAAATCAAAACATCTAGCTTTATTGACAAGCTATTTACGGGTTTAAAGGATTCCTAACTTTATTGGCAACTAAAAAAACGCTACGCCCATTTACCACTTTTTTAAAAAGTGACTAAAAACATTTTATCTCTTTTTTGAAAGTGATTTAAGACACTTACCACTTTTAAAAAGTGACAAAAAAAACCATCAGTTGTTAGAAATTGACTAAGACCCCTTACCACTTTTTAAAAATGACTAAACACCATCACTTTGTTACAAGTGCTAAGACACTTACCACTTGTTTAAAAAAGTGACTAAACACTTACCACTTGTAAAAAAAGTACAAAAAACCCACTTATCACTTTTTAAAGAAATTGACTAATACACTTATCACTTGAAAAAATTTACCAAGCCATTTACCACTTGTTAAAATACTAAACATTTAACACTTTTAAAAAGTAAACAAACACTTCCCCTTTTGTTAAAAAAAGTGACAAATACACCCCAACTTTTTTAAAATTTGACAAGACATTTACCATTTGTAAGAAATGACAAGACTTTTACCACTTGGAAAAAGAAATTTAATACACTTATCACTTTTTTTAAAAAAAGGGGGCAAAGGGACAATGACCACTTGTAAAAAGTGACTAAGACACTTACCACTTTTTTTAAAAGTAACTAAACACTTACCACTTGTAAGAAATGACTAAGAAACTTACCACTTGTTAGAAAGTGACTAAGACACTTACCATTTGGGAAGAAAGTGACTAATACATTTTAAAACTTGTTAAAAAGTGACTAAAAACCTTATCACTTGAAAGAAATGACCAAGAAATTTACCACTTGTAAGAAAGGACAAAGACATTTTACCACTTGTTAGAAATGACAAATTACCCCTTAATTTTTGTAAGAAAGTGACTTAGACACTTACCACTTGTAAGAAAGTGACTAAGACACTTACCACTTGTTAGAAAGTGACTAAAACACTTACCACTTTTTAGAAAGTGACTAAGACACTTACCACTTGAATGAAAGTGACTAAGCCACTTGCCACTTGTAAGAAAGTGACAAAGACACTTACCACTTGTAAGAAAGTGACTAAGACACTTACCACTTGTCAGAGAGTGATTAAGAACACCTTATACCACTATTGTAAAGAAAATTGTAACTAAGACACTTACCACTTGTAAGAAAGTGACTAGGATACTTACCACTTGTAAGAAAGTGACTAAGAAACTTACTACTTGTAAGAAAGTGACTAAGGCACTTACCACTTGTTAGAAAGTGACTAAGACACTCACCACTTGTAAGAAAGTGACTAAGACACTTACCACTTGTAAGAAAGTGACTAAGACACTTACCACTTGTTAGAAAGTGACTAAGACACTTACCACTTTTAAGAAAGTGACTAAGACACTTACCACTTGTAAGAAAGTGACTAAGACACTTACCACTTGTGAGAAAGTGACTAAGACACATACCACTTGTAAGAAAGTGACTTAGACACTTACCACTTGTTAGAAAGTGACCAAGACAGTTATCACTTGTAATAAAGTGACTAAGACACTTACCACTTGTAAGAAAGTGACTAAGACACTTACCACTTGTAAGAAAGTGACTAAGACACTTACCACTTGTAAGAAAGTGACTTAGACACTTACCACTTGTTAGAAAGTGACCAAGACAATTACCACTTGTAAGAAAGTGACTTAGACACTTAGTACTTGTTAGAAAGTGACCAAGACAATTACCACTTGTAAGAAAGTGACTAAAACACTTAGCACTTGTAAGAAAGTGACTAAGACACTTACCACTTGTTAGAAAGTGACTAAGACACTTACCACTTGCCTAGAAGTGATCAAGATGCATTACATTTAGTGAGAAAGTAATCAGGACACTTACCTCTTGAAAGAAAGTAACAGATTCATACTTTTTACAAGAAAGTGACCAAGACACTTACCACTTGTAAGAAAGTGGCCAAGACACTTACTTCTCGTAAGAAAATGTTGCCGAAGACCACAAGGGAGTGCCCGGGAAAGAGATTATCCCCCCTAAGTGCAGGCGGGAAGTAGGTGCCGGAACGTAGTAGGTACGACAGTCTGTCAGCAGTTCATAGCCGTCACCTGCGAAGGTAGAACTAATTTTAGACCCCGAGAAGGTGGACGTAATTTTAGTTTCCTGAGGAAATTGGACATATTACCCGTCACGAGGAAGGTGAGACATAATACCCTATTGAGGAAGGAGAAATAATTACTGTCCCTGAGGAAGGAAGAACATAGTTACTAAACATAGGGAAAAAGGAGAAAATTCCAATTTCCGAGAAAGAAAAAACAATTACCGTACCCGGGAAGAATGAAATAATTACAGTCACCGGGAAGGAAAAACATAAATTCCAGTCAATGAGGAAGAGTGAAAAATAATTACCAGTCCCTGAGGAAGGAAGACCTAATTTCCAGTACTTTTAGGAAGAAGAAAATAAATTTCCCAATTTCCCGAGAAAAAGGGGGGGGAAGGAAAAGGGGGGAAGAGGAAGGAAGAGGAAGGAAGAGGAAGGAAGAGGAAAGGGGAAAAGGAAGGGAAAAGGAAAGAAGATAGAAAGAAAGAGTGAATAAATGAAGATGGGGATAAGCTGAAGGAGGGGTGAAGGAAGGAAGGAAAGAGGAAGGAAGGAAGTAACGAAAGGAGGAAAGGGGGGAAAGGAAAGGGAGGGCGAACGAACGAAACGAACGAACGAACGAAGAAAGAAGGAAATAAGGAAAGAAGGAAGGGAAAAAAGGAAGGGAGGAAGGAAAGGGGGGGAAAAAGGGAAGGAAGGGAAAAAAGGGAAGGGAAGGGGGGGGAAGGAAGGGGGGGAAGGAACGAAGGAGAATCAACGAACGATCAAACGAAAGAACGAATGAAAGGGAAATAAGAAAAAAAAGGAAAAGGAAGGGAAGGAAGGAAGGAAGGAAGGAAGGAAGGGAGGAAGGAAGGAACGAAGGAAGGGAAACAACGAAAGTCTAATGAACGAACTAACGAACGAATGAAGGAAATAAAAAAAAAAGGAAGGAAGGAAGGAAGGAAAGGGAAAGGGAAAGGAAAGGAAGGGGGAAGGAAGGGAGGGAGGAAGGAAAAAAAGGAGGAAGGAAGGAAGGGAGGGAGGGGGGAGGGGAGGGTGGGAAAGAGGGAGGGAGGGGAGGGAGGGAGGGTGGAAGGGGAGGGAGGGGGGGTTTGGAAAGAGGGAGGGAGGGTGGGAAAAGAGGGAGGGCGGGAGGGAGGGCGGGTGGAAGGGAGGGAGGAGGGTGGGAATGGGGAGGGAGGGAGGGAGGGTGGAAGGGATGGCGAGGGTAGGGTAAGAGGGAGGGTTAAGAGGAGCGGAGGTGTGGGAGAGAGGGGAGGAGGGAGGGTGGTAGGGAGGGACGGGGGGAGGGAGGGAGGGTGGGAGGAGGGAGGGAGAGAGGGAGGGAAGGTAGGGAGGGAGGGAGGTTGGGAAGGAGGGAGGGAGATGTGGAAAGAGGGAGGAAGGGAGGGAGGGTGGAAGGGAGGGAGGGAGGAGAGAGAGGAAGGGAGGGTGGGAGGAGGGAGGGAGGAAGGTAGTTGGGGTGGGAGTGGGAGGGAGGGAGGCAAGGAGGGAGGGAGGAAGGGAAGGAGGGAAGGAGGGAGGGAGGGAGGGAGGGAGGGAGGGAGGAGGGAAGGAGGGAGGGAGGAGGGAGGGAGGGAAGGGGGAGGGGGGAGGGGGGGGGAGGAGGGGGGAGGAGGGGGGGGGAGGGAGGGAGGGAGGGAAGGAGGGAGGGAGGGAAGGGGGAGGGAGGGAAGGAGGGAGGGAGGGAGGGAAGGAGGGGGGAGGGAGGGAAGGAGGGAGGGAGGGAGGAAGGAGGGAGGGAGGGAGGGAGGGAGGGAAGGAGGGAGGGAGGGGGAAGGAGGGAGGGAAAGGAGGGAAGGAGGGAGGGAGGGAGGGAGGGAGGGAGGGGGAGGGTTGCTGATGTTTATGTTTCGTAGGAAAAAGCTTTTAATTTTTATCTCACTCACAAAACACACGTGAGTGTATGTGTGAGTGTGTGAGTGTGTGAGTGTGTGAGTGTGTGAGTGAGTGTGTGAGTGTGTTGTGTGTGGTGTGTGAGTGTGTGTGTGAGTGTGTGAGTGTGTGTGTGAGTGTGTGTGTGAGTGTGTGTGTGTGAGTGTGTGAGTGTGTGTGTGTGTTGAGTGTGTGAGTGTGTGAGTGTGTGTGTGTGTGAGGGTGTGTGTGAGTGTGTGAGTGAGTGTGTGAGTGAGTGTGTGAGTGAGAGTGTGAGTGAGTGTGTGAGTGTGTGTAGTGAGTGTGTGAGTGTGTGAGTGTGTGAGTGTGTGAGGTGTGAGTGTGTGTGTGAGTGTGTGAGTGTGTGAGTGTATGAGTGAGTGTGTGAGTGTGTGTATGAGTGAGTGTGTGAGTGAGTGTGTGAGTGAGTGTGTGAGTGAGCGTGTGAGTGAGCGTATGGAGTGAGTGTGTGAGTGTGTGAGTGTGTGTGTGAGTGAGTGTGTGAGTGTGTAAGTGTGTGAGTGAGTGCGTGAGTGTGTGGTGTGTGTGAGTGAATGTGTGAGTGTGTGTGGAGTGTCTGAGTGAGTGTGTGAGCCTGTGAGTGTGTGTGTGAGTGTGTGAGTGAGAGTGTGAGTGAGTGTGTGAGTGAGTGTGGGAGTGAGTGTGTGAGTGTGTTGTGTGTGTGTGTGTGTGTGTGAGTGTGTGAGTGTGTGTGTGAGTGTGTAAGTGTGTGAGTGTGTGAGTGTGTGCGTGAGTGTGTGTGTGTGTGAGGGTGTGTGTGAGTGTGTGTGTGTGAGTGAGTGTGTGAGTGAGTGTGGGAGTGTGTGAGTGTGTGAGTGTGTGAGTGTGTGTGTGAGTGTGTGAGTGAGTGTGAGAGTGTGTGAGTGGTGTATGAGTGTGTGAGTGAGTGTGTGAGTGTGTGAGTGAGTGTGTGAGTGAGTGTGTGGAGTATGTGAGTGAGTGTGCGAGTGTGTGAGTGTGTGAGTGTGTGTGAGTGTGAGTGAGTGTTGTGAGTGAGTGTATGAATGAGTGTTTGAGTGTGTGTGTGAGTGAGTGTGTGTGTGAGTGAGTGTGTGAGTGAGTGTGTGGAGTGTGTGAGTGAGCGTGCCGAGTGAGTGTGTGAGTGTGTGTGTGAGTGAGTGTGTGAGTGTGTGTGTGAGTAAGTGTGTGAGTGTGTGTGTGAGTGAGTGTGTGAGTGTGTGAGTGTGAGTGAGTGTGTGAGTGTGTGAGTGTGTGAGTGTGTGAGTGAGTGTGTGAGTGAGTGTGTGTGTGAGTGAGGTGTGTGAGTGAGTGTGTGAGTGAGTGTGTTAATGAGTGTGTGAGTGTGTTTTGGTGTGTGAGTGAGTGTGTGAGTGTGTGTGTGGTGTGTGAGTGATTTGTGTGTGTGTGTGTGAGTGAGTGTGTGAGTGAGTGTGTGAGGTGTGTGAGTATGTGAGTGAGTGTGTGTTTTGAGTGAGTGGGTAAGCGATTGAGTGACTGAGTGATCGAATGAAGGAGTGAGTGAGTGTGTGTGAGTGAGTGAGTGGGGTAAGGAATGAGTGTGGGATTGATGAGAGGGGCGTGGGAGTTAGGGAATGAATGAGTGAGTGAGTGAGTGAGCGAATGAAGGAGTGAGTGATCGATGTGAGTAAGGTTAAGGGAGAGTGTGTGAGTGAGTGAGGGAGTGAAGGAAAGAGTGTGGTCCAAAGTGAGAGTGTGCGTGAGTGAGGGAATGACTGAGTGAGTGAGTGAGTGAGTGATTGAGTGAGTGAGTAAGTGAGAGAGTGAGAGAGTGAGTGAGTGAGAGTGAGTAATAGAACACAAGTGCCACAGTTAGATGTCTTTATTGCGACACATCTGACCTACACAGCCGCTCAGGTCAGTGTAAGAGAGAAGAGTCAGCAGAGGCAGTAAGAGGCAGTATGACAAACATTCATGTCAGTCAGCAGAGGCAGTAAGAGGCAGTATGACAAACATTCATGTCAGTCAGCAGAGGCAGTAAGAGGCCCGTATGACAAACATTCATGTCAGTCAGAGAGGCAGGGAAGAGGCAGTTGACAAACATTCATGTCAGTCAGCGGGGCAGTAAGAGGCAGTATGACAAACCATTATGTCAGTCAGCAGGGGCAGTAAGAGGCAGTATGAAAACATTCATGTCAGTAGCAGAGGCAGTAAGAGGCCGTATTGACAAAACATTCATGTCAGTCAGCAGAGGCAGTAAGAGGCAGTATGACAAACATTCATGTCAGTCAGCGGGGCAGTAAGAGGCAGTATGACAAACATTCATGTCAGTCAGCAGGGGCAGTAAGAGGCAGTATGACAAACATTCATGTCAGTCAGCAGGGGCAGTAAGAGGCAGTATGACAAACATTCATGTCAGTCAGCAGAGGCAGTAAGAGGCAGTATGACAAACATTCATGTCAGTCAGCAGAGGCAGTAAGAGGCAGTATGATAAACATTCATGTCAGTCAGCAGAGGCAGTAAGAGGCAGTATGACAAACATTCATGTCAGTCAGCAGGGGCAGTAAGAGGCAGTATGACAAACATTCATGTCAGTCAGCAGAGGCAGTAAGAGGCAGTATGACAAACATTCATGTCAGTCAGCAGAGGCAGTAAGAGGCAGTATGATAAACATTCATGTCAGTCAGCAGAGGCAGTAAGAGGCAGTATGACAAACATTCATGTCAGTCAGCAGAGGCAGTAAGAGGGGAGTATGATAAAACATTCTGTCAGTCGCAGGGGCAGTAAGAGGCAGTATGACAAACATTCTGTCAGTCAGCGGGGCAGTAAGAGGCAGTATGATAAACATTCATGTCAGTCAGGGAGGGGCAGTAAGAGGCGTATGACAAACATTATGTCAGTCAGCAGGGGCAGTAAGAGGCAGTATGACAAATTTTATGTCAGTCAGCAGGGGCAGTAAGAGGCAGTATGATAAACATTCATGTCAGTCAGCAGGGGCAGTAAGAGGCAGTATGACAAACATTCATGTCAGTCAGCAGGGGCAGTAAGAGGCAGTATGATAAACATTCATGTCAGTCAGCAGGGGCAGTAAGAGGCAGTATGACAAACATTCATG